TGTATAAACTAACCATTGTGGTTTTTAAACTATAGCTGATCAAATAAGATGCCAATCACACATTATTCAATAAAACATTAGTTTAAAAATGGTTTAGCATGAGATTCAAGCAGAAGAGATCCCTTAGCTTCAATGAATCTCTTCCACCAGCATATAATAGAGCTTGAAGCACTAGATTTATAATGGGGAATCTCCTCACCCATCACATCTTGCAAACATTGATCCTATTTCTCGACCTTTACTGACACCCCTAAACTCCTTAACTGATAGTTAAGTTGGAGAAAAGGATGGGGTTGGGATTCAAAGCTGTTTGGAAGTTCCATTGATCCATTCTACGAGTCCACCAAGCTACATGGTGGCTTGATTCTGTCTCAATAGGTTATGCCCTCTCTTCCAGTGTGATTTGAAAGCAGTTCATTTATGGTTTTAAGATAAGGTGTGAACTCAACCAATTGTGATTTATCCAATACATATCAGTTAAAGAAACCATGATTTAGCATCATGCATGGAGCCCATCGCTTCTCACCAGAACAGTGTGTCCCAACCTGTTGAGTATCTAATTAGCAGGTTAACCTTACACTGTGTTTTCTTCTCCTTGATGTTATCTAAATGCAGTACAGGGGAAAGACCATATGGCAGGTGTGATTCTTCCATGCCTTTCCCTGTCACCTCAACAGGTGAACAGTTCACACCAATGCAAGGTCACCCCGCACTAAAGGCTTCTGTTTCATATCTCCATGGAGGAGGAAAGGAGAAAAAGATGCAGCTGTAAAATCTCACACCATTTAGTTTCACAATTGTTTCTGAAAGCCACCCAAGAAGGAAATCTCTGGGTTAATAATATTCACTATTTGCTTTTTATCAAAAAAGCAAAGAGTAAATTCATATTTCATGTCAAGGAGCAGCAGTAAATGAAGAAAAGAAACTATTGACTTGACAAACTACTAACAGGTCTCCTTGGGAGATTACATTGACTTTGTAGGAACTGGAAAGAAGAAAAGAAGTCCACGGAGAACATGTTATGATTCATCCTTTGGCACGTTCCTCAACGGTGCTAATACAAAACCTGCAGATCTCTTTCCAGTTTTGTATCAGATTTAATTTTCTACCCATATCTCTTCTGATTTCTGAATGCACATTGTTCTATTCCTATTGCCCAGATTCTTCCAGGACATGAAAGACTGTTTGCCATATCCATTTCCTTACCTAACATTCCCTAAAAGAGATCTTGACTCAAGACCTGGCCTAAAATTGGATTCATTTTGAAAGCACTCATTTTAATGGACGTTCAGACTGTGTTTTTTTTTTAACATCAATGAATTGAAATCCTCAGGTTATTAATTTCTATATTATTGCATTATTCTGTGCCATTTCTGTCTGTGCCACACCTGAGATTGGATATTTAAGAATATCAGAACAACCCTGGGGTATTAAGTCCAACAGAAGCCAATCAGATGCTATGAACCTATTATCTTTTCTTGGACAGAGGAGTGAAAATAACATTCTCAACCAGGAACAGTTTGGCTGTACAGTTGCTACAGTTAACTGCAGGATCCGATAACATGGAACAGAGCAGTGGATCATTTTTTAAAAAATAAAGAGAGCAAAGGAGAGAAGTGACTTCACCATTTTGCTGGTATGCTCTGACTGACAATGCAGCTTGCAAGCCCGTGACTCTGGCACTGAATTTTTGATTATTGATTGGCAATACTGATTTGGATTTTTAGGTAGATTTTCTCCTTTCCTCTCCCCCCCCTCCTTTATCAGTGGGCATTTTTATTTTATTTTATTTGCATCTTCTCATCAATTCAGAGCCCTTGGAATGGAAGGGTAGTCCTTGACTCATGACCACAACTGAGCCCAAAATTTCTGTTGCTAAGTGAAACTTTTGTTACGTGACTTTTGACTTTATGAGCTTTCTTTCCACAGCTGTTAAGTGAATCATTCCAGCTGTTAAGTTAGTAACATGGTTGTTAAGTGAAGGTAGCTTCCCCGTTGACTTTGCTTGTCAGAAGGTCACCAAAGGTGATCACGTGACCCCCAGGACACTTCAACTATCTTAAATTTGAACCCGGTTGTCAAGTGTCCGAATTTTGACCACATTCACTATGGAGATGTTGCATCGGTCATAAGTGGGAAAAGTGGTCATAAGTCTTTTTTTTCAGTTTAACTTTGAAATGGTTCTAACTTTCAACAGTCACTAAATGAACTGTTGTAAGTTGAGGACTACTTTGTAAATAAGTCAAGATTGCTTATGAACAAGCTCAAAAAAGCCTTTGAGACGTTTCCCTTCTTACACCATTAAAAAAAAACTTGTTGATTGAGTCCTACTGTTTGCTTCCTCTTTTTCACCAACTAGCAATATGCCCTTATTCCAGGAGAGCTACTTTTTTTTTCTTCCAAATATTTGAAGAGGTGTTTTCTGAAAATCCAAGTATGTAATAATGTAATAACAACATTGACAGGACAATCTCTGGCCACATGTTTGATGGTCCAATCCGTATCATCTAAAAATAACATGATCATAACAACCACGATCATACGATTTATGCCTCAAAGAAGCCCTTATGTGCGTGTCTCAGAAAGGGATTAAAGGAACAAAGATTTCAAAAGCCGCAGGACAGGAAATAAATGGTACATTAACTTTGGCAGGCAAGAACAATGAACTCTATTATGATGAGATGAAATTAAAAGGATTAAGAGAGCAGCATCAACAGCCAAGTGACAAATCAAGTGTAGCCCCCATGACTTAAGTGAGAAAAAAAAATGTAGAAAACCCATGAGTTTTCTAAAAAAAAAAAAACCAAAAACTTTGCTTCTACAGTTTCTTTCAAGGGAGAAGAAAAATTATGAGACATTAGGTCTTGAGGAGTATTGACTGATTGATTCACCGTATGCCCTGCGAGTGATCCATCTGCTATTTAAAAAGGAGACCTCCATCTCCCTCCGGGTAGGTATACTGTAAATAGGAGTGTCCAACCTATTTATAGTATACCTACCCAGTATAGAAGTATTAATGTAAGAGAAAATTAATCTTATTGTATATAATACAGATAGGGAAATTTGGAGAGAGGAGTTGCTCGGACATTATCCCTGAATTGTATCTGAAGAGGGATAAGAGGGGAGAAAGGAGAGGAGAGAGAGAAAAGTAAAGGAGGGGAGAAGGAAGTAGGAAGGTTGGAGGAGAAGAGGAGAAGTGGGGAGAAAGGGGAGGAGAGTGGTGAAGGAAAGAGAAGAGGAGAGGAAGAAGAGGGAAGTAGGGAAGAGAAGAAAGGGAGAAAGAAGGTAGAGAAGAAGGAGTGTGGATACAGTTACGGGGAAATGGGCGAGCAACACCAAAAGTCATGTGTATGTATTTATTTCATTTTATTAAAAGTATCTTATATATGAATGTAAAAAGAATGTTATGTTAACATCTGATAAATATCACAGTATACTGTATGTATGGGGAAGAGTTTGGAAAAATAAAAAAAATATTTTAAAAAAAGGAGTGTCCAACCTTGGCAACTTTAAGACTTACGGACCTCAACTCCCAGAATTCCCCAGCCAACCATGCTGGCTGGGGAATTCTGGGAATTGAGGTTTATAAGTTTTGTTGACAACTGGTTGGGCACTTTTCTTGACAACTGGTTTATAATTTCCTTCCTGCTCCCCCCCCCCATTTTCTAATGTTATCCACAGCCTTAGAATCTCCTTAGAGTCTCCCATCCAATCCATTCCAAAGTCCACTCTGCTTAGTTTTTCCAGATCAGCTGCTAAGTGTTACCATCTAAATTGGTTAGGCTGAAAAATACATATCAGCATGCTTTCAAGAATTAAGTCTTTTCTTCATTTCTCTCTCACTTTCTGCCTTTTTAGAATTTCCCTCCTGACTCAACCGGTCTGGTTTCTGAACCCTGGTTTCTTCAACCACACTTCCCTCCATAGGCCACAAGGGCTGAATTCACACAAATGTGAAACCAAATGATCACACTGGGCTCTGTGGGAAGCTAGATATTGTAAAAGAAACTAAAAACACAACCCGCTCCCTGAAAAAAGCAGCCAACCTCAGCTGGAATTGGTTTTATTCAACCTTCAAGATGGTTTTGGAACAATTCTCAACGGCTTCTGGGTTTTGTTCCTTCTTGAGATGATTCCTTCAGAGTACTGTATCCAAATGGCACATTTGGCTCTTTACTTAGTGGCTTTTTTTTTTTTTTTTTTAGTCCCGAAACCCACCTTGCGCCAAGCCAAACGGTGGAGCAGAACACTTTTATCCAGAGTTGCAAGCTTGCAAAAACTCTGCGCCTGGCTTCGTACCAGCCCCAGGGCGGTTTGCTAGTTCAGGGCTGAACTTGAGACTGCGGCTTAAACATCTTAAAGAAAAGGGGGGGGGCGCCTTATTTAGCAAGAGGGGCCGTTAATCATCCAGGGAGGGGGAGCAAGGCGACGGCTAGGTCGCGACCACCTCCCACCCTTCATTTTTTTAAATATTTTTTTATTTTTCCAAACTCTCCCCCATACATATACCGTGATATTTATCAGATGTTAACATACATTCTTTTAACATTCGTATATAAGATACTTTTAATAAAATGAAACAAATACATACACATGAGTTTTGGTGTTGCTCGCGTTTCCCCTTTCACTGTATCCACACTCCTTCTTCTCTACCTTCTTTCTCCCTTTCTTCTCTTCCCTACTTCCCTCTTCTTCCTCTCCTCTTCCCTTCACCATTCTCCTCCCCTTTCTCCCCACTTCTCCTCCAACCTTCCTTCTTCCTTCTCCCCTCCTCTACTCTTTTCTCTCTCCTCTCCTTTCTTCCCTCTCATCCCTCTTCAGATGCAATTCAGGGGTAATGTCCGAGCAACTCCTCTCTCCAAATTTCCCACCTCCCACCCTTCGGAAGCGTCTCCTTTCCGCAGCTCCAGCTGGCTCCTGGCGAGACGCGTGCCCGGGGCGAGTTCGAGGACTACACTTCCCAAGAGGCTTCGCGCGGGCCAAGCAAAGGGGGCGGGGCGGCGGGTGCTCGGCCGAGCTTTTGCTGCGCTGCGCTGGAGGAGGCGGCTGTGGCTCGGCAGGCGATCGCGGCTGCGAGCGGCGTCTCTTCCCGGCCATGTCCGCCGCCTGTTGTCGCCCCCAGCCCGCTCCGGAGCCCACGCTGGGCAGGGATATCCCCGTCCCGAACAAGCTGCTGGCCTTGGCCGAAGGAGTCGCCTTGCCTCCGGGCGACTACGGCACCACTCCTGGCGGCACTCTCTTCGGAACCACGCCTGGCGGTGAGCGGAGCCGCTGGAGGGAGGAGAGGCGGTGTGCCTCTGAGCATGCAAGGAGTGCCCAGAGGGGAAGGTGTGAAGGGTGCCTCTGAGCCTGGAGGGAGAGCCACCGGAGGCAGAAGAGGTGTAAAGAGCGTCTCTGAGCATGGAGGGCATGCAGGTGTTAAGAGTGCCTCTGAGCAGAGAGGGAAAGTCACACGAGGGGCAGAGGAGAGGTGGCACTGAGACTGCCTCTGAGCATGGAGAGAGTGCACAGAGGGAAGGAGAGACGGTGTTAGGGGTGGCTTTGAGTAGGCAAAGAACTTGCAGAGGGGTTAAGAGTGCCTCTGAGCATGCAGAGAAGGGAGCAGGAGAAGAGATTGGAGCGCTAAAAGAAGGTAGCGAAAGTAGAGTCGGAGGGCCTCTGTCATGAAAAGAAGGGCAGTGGGGGGGAGAGAAGAGGGGGAACAAGAAGCTGTGGGCTGGCGTGCCACTGAGCATGGAGAGAAACCGCTTGAAGGAGAGTACAAAGTAGTTGCATACAGTAATGCTTCTGGGCATGGGTTCAATCCTGCAGGGGAAGAATCAAAGGCAGGGCATGTGTTCTTCTGAGAAGGGAGCAATTCAGGGCTTACCCTGAAACGGTGCCCAACATTTTAACTCCTTTCTAGTCGTGCTAAAATCTTTCTAACAAGAGCAAAAAAAAGCCCTTTCCTGCTATGCAGATCCAGCAGTTAGGCTGGACTCAGGCTTGCCAGCTTCTCTCCACTTATTCAGAGTTTTCATTTCATCAATAAACCCTTGAACCCTGTGTGGGTAAGAGAAAAGGGGATTGGCCCCAAGACGGAATACGCAGGATAGGGCTACATCTGGAATTGGCTTTGGACTTGTTCTCCTATTCTCAGTGGAAAAGGCTAGCATTCTTCACACACACACACACAGACACACACACACAGACACACACACATTCACATGGACACACTGGGATTAGGGTCCTTAACAGGTGGCATATTTCTTTAAAATGGGTCCTAGCTAGGCCTGCTTCCTCATGGAATCGCCCCATTTTTCTGGAAAGACAATGTATAAATGAATCCCAAGGCTACAGTAAAACATAATTTAACGAAGAGAAGGACAAGGGGGGACATGATAGCAGTATTCCAATATCTCAGGGGCTGCCATAAAGAAGAGGGAATTAAGCTATTTTCCAAAGCACCTGAAGGCAGGACAAGAAGCAACGGGTGGAAACTCATCAAGGAGAGAAGCAACCTAGAACTAAGGAGAAACTTCCTGACAGTGAGAACAATTAATCAGTGGAACAGCTTGCCTCCAGAAGCAGTAAATGCTCCAACACTGGAAGTTTTTAAGAAGAGACTGGACAGCCATTTGTCCGAAATGGTGTAGGGTTTCCTGCCCGAGCAGGGGGTTGGACTAGATGACCTCCAAGGTCCCTTCCAACTTTACTACTATTACTATTACTATAATGGAGTGGAATATTCTTACTTGTCTAAAGGGAATTGGGTGGTCACGGATCAAGACTTCCCTTTTGATTTTTCCAGCTAGGAACAGCCTTTCTCAAAATGTCTAGAGGAGTAATATCCCGTCTGAAACTTGCTTATGGATATGAAACTTGCTTATGGCTCAGAGAATCGTCTTTATTTCCCACATGGTCCCTTTCCAAGTTTAGATTAATTGATACTTAGATCCTCAGTGCCTCCCCTGAGTGCCTGAACAGTACAAAACATTGGCCAGGGAAGAAATTATTGTGCTTCAGAGGTAATTGGGAATAGTGGTTGAATCCTAGAAACATTTACAGGAGACTAGCAATGGATCACGCGTCATTGGGAACCCTCTTTTTTATCCATCAGAAAAGACACTTTTCCATAAAGTGTTCTGTACATTGTGAGTGTGCTGTTAAAAACAAGCATTGCACAGAAAGCTTTTTGACCCAGGCTTTGGTGTGGGAAACCTGACACAAAGCTCTGAACTACAAACTCTGCAGAATAGGCTTCTTTTTTTTCCAGGCATGGCTATCTGTACTTTTTAACTGCATTTGGACCAGATGTGTTGTGTAAAAAAGGTCTAAGAACATCAAAGTAGGTAAATGCAACATTGCAACATTTTTTTGGTGGCGAGCAGATTGAGGAGAAGATATATTTTCTGCCTGAGGTGTATTTAGGAGTGCACAAGTAGGAACTCTTCCAAGATACCAGTGCAGGTAGTCCTCAACTTACGACCGCCCCTAAGCCCAAAAATTTCTGTTGCCAAGTGAGACATTTAAGTGAGTTTTGCCCCGTTTTATGACTTTTCTTGCCACTTAAGCGAATGACTGCAATTGATAAGTTAGTAACATGGTTGTTAAGTGAAACTGGCTTCCCCATTGACTTTGCTTGTCAGAAGCTCACGAAAGGGGATGGCATGACCCCTGGGCACTGCGGCCGTCATAAATATGAATCAGTTGCCAAGTGCCTGAATTTTGATCGTGACCACGGGAAGGCTGCAGCGGTCGTAACTGTTAAAAAAAAACGGTCGTAATGTAAGTCACTTTTTTCAGTGGTGCTGTCACTAAGTGAACTGTTGTAAGTAGAGGATTACCTGTATCCAATGCAGCAAAATGCAGTGTGTATTGTAGCTTATTTGCTTTCTTAAAAACAACCAAAGTCTGACTTAAAATCTATTCGTTAAAACTGAGGCCCCTTAAAGCAATAGATTTGTTTCTTTGTAAATGTTTATTTATAAAGCCACCCGTGTGTCAGTTGCAGATAACGCTGGTAAACATTTGCTGCTTCTGTTTGTGACGATGCTTGCTCTAAAAATCAGGTTTATGCACGCAATTGCAAGGTTTAATTCCTCATGACTGATGCAAAATAGTGGCTGCCTTTAAGTTTGGATAGGTCTAAGGAAGCTTTAGCAGACAGTCCATTCTGGACTGTATTTTCGTGGCTGGAGAAGACCCACATGGCAGGTCATGCAACTTAAATCACAAGGGTGGCATTCTAAACTTGCACATTTTTGCTGCCAAAAATGTGTCACATTGCCTAGCTGAAGTCTAGCATGCCTTTTCCAGCGTCCTCTTATTTTTAATATGTTTTAACAATATGTTCAGTAAAAAGAATTAACTTAATAATATGCTCTTAAATTTCTATGCTACCTGACACTTAATGGGTCTCTGGGTGGCCCCCAACAACGGAATTACAATAAAAGGTAAAAATAAAAGATGGCACGTGTGACAAAAGAGGTCTCATTCTCCCTGGCCAAAGTCTTGGGAGTCAGATCTTCTATCTAAACAGAAGATCTGAGGTGGGGGTGAACTATAGCCTTAGAGAACACCTATGGTTGTTTCTTCTGTACTTCAACATATTGTGTATTGCATCATCTGCCATTCTGAGAAGTTATTTGTGCACGTGGCTTGATGTGCAGTAAGTACAAATCAGGCACTGCTACAGAGAAGATGCACTTCCAGAGTCCCAGTAGACAGCATTGTTTAATTGTTGTCTACTTTTCCACTTGCAGGATAACTTTCATATCCTCTCTGCTGGAATACCCAAAGTGTGACCGAAGCATCTTTTTGCTCTGTCACCAAGCAAAATGTTCATGGACACAACTTTAGAATTTTTGAAATTGAAAATACAATTTCCATTGTGCAGAAGACCTTGAGTTTTAAGGTCTGGGCTCTTCCCTTTGAATAGCTTCTATTATTTAATCATCTAGTAATTTCGTGGCATTGTCAACAACAAGTGAAAAAGAAGGAAGGAAGGAAGGAAGGAAGGAAGGAAGGAAGGAAGGAAGGAAGGAAGGAAGGAAGGAAGGAAGGAAGGAAAAAGCATAAGCAGTTTGTTTTATTTGACCTATAAGCATCAGTGAACGAATTTGCATGCTTTCACAATCAAAAGCCTGTCCTGCTGTTGCAATCTGAAATTATGCCATTAAAAGCTATTGTTGCTGTGTGGAGGAGGGTGCAATTATAGCTGCTTTTCACTAAATAAAATAATAATAATAAAATATGACTAACCTGGAAAAGAAACATGAACAATCTATGGCCCTTTGATTTTCTATGTCCTAATGTTGAAACAAGTGGGGTGAATTTGCTAGAGCAAACTAACCTCTCTAAGAGAGTCCTCAGCTTACAACAGTTTGCCTAGTGACTTTTGAAGTTACAGTGGCACTGGGAAAAGTGTCTTATGACTTTTTCACACTTATAATCGATGCAGCATCCCCTTGGTCACGTGATTCAAATGCTTGGCAACTGACTCATTGGACTTATACACCACTTCGTAGTGTTTTATAAGTGGTTTACAGAGTCAGCATATTGCCTCCCAACTATCTGGGTCCTCATTTCACCGACCTCGGAAAGACGGAAGGCTGAGTCAACCTTGAGCCGGTGAGACTCGAACTGCAGGGAACTGGCAGTCAGCAAAATTAGCCTGCCATACCGCATTCTAACCACTGCACCACCCCCAGCTCTTAATTTATGACGGTTGCAGTGCCCCGGGGTCTTGTGATCACCGTTTGTGACCTTTTGGCAAGCAAAGTTAACGGGGAAGCCAGACTTGCTAACTTAACAATTGCACTTAAGCAAAAAAAAAAAAGGTTGTAAAATAAAGCAAAACCCACTTAAACAACTGTTCTCACTTAGCAACAAAAAAATTGAGTTCAATTGTGGTCGTACGTCCAGGACTTCTAAGGGAAGTTTTCCAAATTCCTTTGGTTCTTTGAAGTGAATCTTAGGTGGGTTTAAAGTCGTGCATAATGAGCACTTTTTTGCTTCCCTACATTTGTGCACCCAGTCCCGAGAGCCAGGGTGAGATTTGCACAGACGTAGCAGAAAACCTCATGCGGCAGAATTCCGAAGCTGGAAGGAAGCATGTTCAGCTCTGTTTGTTTTGCATTGCATAATAGTTTTGGGCTGCCATCCAGGCTGCTCACAAGGTAATGGTGTTATCATTTCTTGGGTCACCTTGGTGAACTCTAGCAGGTAGCGAATCATGTGTTACGAACAGGTTCCAAGATGTACAAAGCAATTATTT